ACATAGTCCATTCATAATTACAATTTTAGTTGAAAATTTTCCGCTACTTCCTACCGACGACGAATCTATGGATTTTTTTCTCTTTTTCTTTTCTTATGTTTCGCTTCGTCCCATCACATTCCTATTAAAATGTGATTTGTTTATTGTACTATTGCAGTCTACGTGGACCGTTCGATGTTCTTTTGACCCTGTCTAGTGCCATTTATATATTCCCAGCATTTATTGTTACGATGTTTCACACTCTACATCGATGGAAAATCAAGCAATAGAAGTCTGACATGAATTTCGAATTTCAACGTATGTGGACAATATGCGATAACTCATATATCCGATCAATATAATAATCATCTTTTTCCGAATATAATAAGTTTTCCTCGGTTTCTTCTTCTAATTACCCGCGCATCCTATTATCGTGCAATGATAATTGCAATCATCTAATTGTATAGATACTTAAGTGAAAATTGCCAGATATTATAGGTTGTAATATATTTTTGGTCTCCCTGCGTTTGCAACATAACTTCAACAATGAACGATAGCCAATGTATTCCATTTATAGCAACGCTAGTTTCCTCATGAAATTCCATTAAATCTCAATAATCCGAGCTAATTAGTATTTAAGATTCTCCCGGTTTTACCTGTTATTAATTATTTGTTAAGAAATTAAATTGCACATAAGAAGTGACAGCTGAACGAGCAGTTGGTTTACACATTCACGATGAATCTTGAACAATTCCCATATATAATATATCTGCTCCCATACAACTAAGACTGCCAATAACACAGGGCAATTAATTAATTTTTCTCTAGTGCTCCTGTCAAATTTTTGAAAAATAGTTAGGTTACTTAACGATAGACTTGCAAAATTCTCCCTACTGACTTTATATATTTAATTAGAAGCGTTTGATCGCTCGTTAATTTGCGATATTGATTATCGTTAGTGATATCATTGACGTATGAAATGACTACTGCTAAAAAATATTAAATATAAAACTGTGTAACAAGCGCGGCATAGCGGCATGTTCTCATTATTATTGCTGTTATTATTATTATTATTATTATTATTATTATTATTATTATTATTGTTATTGAAATGAGCTTTATTTAATTTTTAAAAGATCAAAATGATAATTGCCTCCCTTCCTCTCAACTTCTTAGGCATACTTATTTATATATATATATATATAAATAATTATTTCATAGATGAGATATATAGATAATTGGAGATTTTTAAAACTAATGCTACTTCATGTGGCTTAATTACGTGTACAGTGTCTACGAGTTCCTTCATCCTCGCAACTCAATTGCTCGACAATTCCTTAACCAACAATAATGCCCATTAGAAAATTAATATTACTTACCATCGCTTCGAATAGGCCCCTTATTATTATTATTATTATTATTATTATTATTGTTATTATCATCATTATTATTAATAGAATTTTAAAAAGTTGAAAGGTTAATGCATAACATAAATAATGTACACGAGTATGGTTAATAAATTTAACAGTCATTATCTGATAAGTGAAAGCACTTTGTCTTTTTCAAGCGAACTTAAAGCTGCTCGACCGTGAAAATCGATTCAACAGCGCTGATAGTACATAAATAATCTCGTTAAGTAATCGGGGAAGGAGAGGAGCACTCGTCCTGCACTCCCTTACGAAACAATCGTGAAATTCCAGTCTCATTTGCGTGGGCTCGAGTGCAATGGGTGGGAATGGCGCGTACCCCGCCACGCCGTCTTTATCACGAAAACTCCAAGGATAATTCGCTCGTAAAAAGTTATAAGCCAGTCGAAAAAGCGAACTCGGGTGCGCCAAGTCGTGGAAAAAGAGGAGCAAAGGGAAAGGCAACAAAGACACGCAGGTACTCATACCTCCACCCCATCCCACCCCACCGAACAAAGCGAACCTCTCGGAAATGCTTTTCCTTCGATCCTCGCTTTCATCCTCACTTGCCGTTATTCGGCTCTTTAGTGGCTCAGAGCATCGTATCGTATACTTCGTATTGTTCGATTTTCTCTCGAAACGCAGCGACCAGTGCGAGTGAAACGTCACGAGGAGTCCCTTATTATTAATTTTGCTAATTTCGATGTTGATATTGAGTGAAAGCACATGGCGACGATAACGAGTGCGCGAAGTGGTGGCTAATGGTTAAACAATGGTGGTGACACGCTATTGCAGCCACTCATCGGCAAACAATCAATTTGTTAATGTCGATGAATTATAATTTGCCGTAGAAAAACGCCCAAACGATTCTGGCGTATAGGAAGTCGCTGAAAGCATCTCGGATCCGCGAACTAAACAAAAGTTCCTTTCATGGTTGATCGGCTAGATTATCGCATTCCCTTGTGGAATAATTCTAATTTATGCTATTGCTAATTTCGGATACGCGTACCGCAATTGCAATATTTACGCTTTGATTATGTGTGTGTGTGAAACGGCCTTTCAATCAAGTTTCCACAATTTAATAATTTTAAAGAACTTTGGGGTTGCTATTGTTGCTTTAGCGCCAATTCATACGTCATCTGATTTCATTGTCCAAATGACAGAAATTCGTTATGATATCGCGACTGAAGTGGAGTAAAATTATACGCAAGTATCACGGTTATGGAATACTACTATCGAACCTTTAATATATACATTCATAACTTTCTCAAGCACAGGCAGATAAAATGATTGGGCAATTTGATAATGACCGAGCTCTTAAACAACTTGCACAATTATAATAATTTGCAATTTGAGAACACCTAAATTTCCAAGTGTCCTTATATAAGTTTATTTTTTTGTGGTTCGGGCAAAAAGGTTTTTCGTGGTTTTCATAATCTTTTAAACGAACCGAGTAATCGTGACTAACGTGAAATATTGCTCCTAGTATCCTTATTCGTTTCTCTCTCTCTCTCTCTCTCTCTCTCTCTCATATCGATGACAAAGTCCCATGTTATCCCGTCCACAAAAATATAAAGTGCGTAAATTAGTAGTAATAACTTTGTGCAATGGCCGCTCTCGACCGTAACGAATCATTCCATTAGGGATTGCGCAATCGAATTGGGTGAACGAACGGTGCGGAAAACGTCCGGCCCTCCTCACTATCACACGGCTCGACTAAATTAGAAGCCTCGGTGAAACAGATAAGGGAACATCTGTACGACCCCCTCCTCCTCCTCTTCCTCCTCCTCCTCCTCCTCCCGCCACAATCACCACCATCGGCCAATTAGTCGCCCATGCCCAAAGACAACGTACGAGCGATCGAGCGGAGATTTACAAGGATCCGTCTACCCACGCGATGCAGTTTCACAGCGCATCGACGGCGTTGGCCAATCGTACGCGACGAGAGCTCCCCGAGCATATTATATTATACCAAGCGCCACTTGCTCGAGGAAATTTCTTCCATTACAGTGAAAGCCCGATGAAATCATCCGATGTCGTCGCTGCGATACGTAGCTGCGGGGGTGGCTCTGTCTTAGATCTACAACTTTGTTTCTGATGTACGCGCGCTTGAGCCTACTGCCCCCGCGGGATCCGATCCCGCGCACAATCAGCGAGTGGCTCCGGCAGTCCCTCTTCCCCCATCAGCCAACGTCGCGCAGCCCGGTGCATTTCATAAGCAGCCGCACGCGCGCGATAATAAGCGCATAGCCGGCACGCGTCCGCTCCCATATGTCGTCTTTCCGTGTTCGACCTCGTCTCACGTCTGCCAATCAGCCGCGCTCCCGCATTTTTAAATAATTACTTTGTTTTTCGGAGATACCGGAGCGAGAGTGTGAGGTGATTCGCTCGCGCCAACGGCACTCCTCGTCCCTCCTTCTCTCATTATTCTAAATCCACTTTGCCCTCCTACTTTACTCTACTCTACTCCACTCCACTCCACTCCACTCCACTTCACTCCACTCCACTCCACTCCACTTCACTTTACTCTGCTTTATGTTTGTACGTACCGCGTATGCACCGCCACCATTCCCCTTACCTTTCCACACACATACCCTCTTATGTATACACATATGGAGTCATTTTAATTTGTTTCGTTGATTTCTCGTGGCTGATGAAATCTCCTGATTACCAATGTGGAATCTTATATTTAAAGCGCCAATAAAATTGCAAAGATTACGTTTTCTCGATTACATACTACATTAATAATGTGCACGTCATCGCGTGATGTATAAAAAAAAAATTTAATTCAAACGGCATGACAAACTCGTAAATATTCAAGCAGTTTGCACTATTGGACTGCTAAGCTCCAGGGATTTATTGAAAAAAATTACTGGCAATCAATAGCTTACAATATCACCAATAACGAAAAGACCGGCATTAAACATTATTATCTTATCAACGTATTACAATACTTTTCCCACGACACAAACGCCAACGATCATTTACACATACGTGAGCGCGTGCGCACAAACACTTAATAAAACGAACGAAGAATGAATTATATTAGTAGATTCTCACATGAATTTAAAAAAAAACATTCGAGTCCTTTTTAAATTTATAAGTATATAATGTATACAATGCAATATGTTTTATATATAATTGTGGTATCTTTGTTTTATAGGTGCATAACAATTAGCATATGTCCTTGTTATTAATATAGTGAAAATACATTTTATAATGGCTATGAAAACATCACGGTTTCTTCAATAAAAGGAATTTACGGTTTCATAAAGAAGCTGCTAGATAATGCAATTGATAATGAACCACATTGATAAAATCAACAAGACACTTATAATTTATTACTTTAAAAGGCCTTGAGGAAAAGGATTTGGAATTTTGTTCAAACAATTGTGTTAAAAAAAAAAAAAAAATCCTTGTTTTCGCAGCAGCGATTGTCAAGGCTGCCCCACCCACGCTGCATCAAAATACCGTTTCAAGTGGTCGTTATAAACGATTTTCCTCAGCCACTCGCTAGTTTTATAGAGAGAGAATGGGTTGGGTGCGAGTGTGGGAGGGGGATGTCAGAGAGATAGAGAAATGATAACGAAAGGCGCTCTACGATTGATTTTGCAGAGACACTTGGACAAGGGTGGCGACCTCGCGGAGGCTGCCTCGGCCTCGGGGCTGCGCGAACTCGCGCGATCCCTGAAACAACACTTACGGGGCTTCGGGGCACGTTTGGAGGATCGCCGCGAGTATCTCGAGGACACATCCCGATGCTGCCTGCTCCAGGATCGGGCCTACGAGTGGGCCCAGGAGGCGAGGCTCGCGGGCGAGCGCCGAGCCCAACAGTTCCTCGCGGCACGGCCGCCCCTCCCACCCGAGCACTTTGCCGAGATGATGGCCCTCGCCGAGAAGCTCGGCAATGACATACTCCTCGAGCAGTGCAGGATCGCCCGAGCCAAGTGCCTCGAGGCCCTCGAGATCGCGAGGACGATCTCCGCGCCGGCAAGCCCGCCCCGGCGCAGGAGCCTCGCCAACTCGGACTCGGCCAACTCCTGGGAGGAGGCCCTCGCCAAGCGTGAGTATATCATCGCTAGCAACAGTCCCACGCGCTGGCTCACCGTTCCCCTCCGCCGGGGCTCTCCACCTCACCATCGGGACGCTTTGCGCTCCGCAGGTGCCAGCTGGGAGGACAGCGATAGCAGCGGCGCCTCCTGCGCGGGCGCACCCGAGAGCATCGGCGCCGGGGGTCGCGGTCTCCTCGACAACATCGCCGAGCTCCGCGAGAGCGCGGAGCAGCTCCTCGACTGCTCGCCCCCGAGGACGCCTCCGAGGAGTCCCCAGGCCACGCGGAGACTGGTCAAGCCGCCCGTCAACTCGCACCTTCATCGCGCGCCCAGCATCGCACCTGGCATGAAAGCTAAAAAGTAAAGACTTTTACACAACGAGAAACCTCACCACCTAATCTCCCGGTCGCTAGTTTCTCTTCCCCTAAGTCACCAATCGCCCGTTCTCCTTCATCATTATTAGGCTACTCGACAATGGCTAATCGCTCAATAGCTAATGACCTTTTCGACCTTATAATTATCCTAATATCTAATCTATCACTTCGTTAATTTCACGTGACACTCGTATCGTGGATCACGCGTTTCGCGTTGCTTGGCAAACTGCATGGAAATTATGATAAATTCAGTATTGCGAATTCCGATTAGTTTCCATGTTTGACAGCTTTAACTGAATCTTTCGGCTTGTAAATTAAATACCGCCTACGTCATTTTGTAAGCGCAACACTTTTTCCTCCTCCGATTTGTGTAATTTACGTCGTATTTATTTATTTTCTTAGATGGCACACCTTTACGGTTAACTTAAAAGAAGGAGAAAACAATATTAAGCGCGCGTCCCGTGCTGTTAGTGTCCATTTGAGCGTAAAGGAATCGAACGCTTAAAGTTTAAATTACTTTGCGATATAAATATTTATGAAGATCTAGAATCGGATTTCAAATCTCAAATCAGCCGCTTAAAGGATAAAGCCGTTAGCCTATTTGTACTTGTCGTCGATGATTTTTTTTTTTTTTTTTTTTTTTTTTTTTTTTTTTTCATCCAACATACTTAAAATCTTTTTTCTTTTTCTTTTTTGTTTGTTTGCTTTTTTTTTTGTTTTTTTTTTGTTAATTTTTTCATTTCTTTATGTTCTCTTTATACCTATTTTTAGAACCATACTGCTGATAATGAGGGAAATGATACAGACTGAACGAGACTACGTGAAATCCCTCGAGTACATAATAGAGGTAAGGATGTAAATCGGCTTAATATTCCAACGGGTAATTGAGTTTATGTATGAAAATCATTACGAAGCTAATGAGGAAAATTATGAAAATTGTTGCAGAATTATATACCCGAGTTAGTTCGGGAGGATATTCCTCAGTCGTTGAGAGGCCAGCGGAACGTGATCTTCGGCAATGTCGAAAAGATTTATGAGTTCCACAGTCAATACTTTCTGCGCGAGCTAGAACAATGCGAACAATCACCGATGATGGTCGGCCAATGCTTCTTACGTCATGTAAGAACTCTTTACTCTCTATCACTTCTAGCTTGGTCCATATCACTGCCTTTTTCCCACGCCATACCCCTCCGTTCCATCCACAAAGTTTAAACAGCCCCTGTCATGGATGTTAATGTAAGTAAGTTTGTTGGTTCTGAAAGTTACAAATTTCGCCTTCCAAACTCCAATGCGCAATTTCGGACGCACTTTGATCCAAAATATCCCCTCCCCCATCTCTCTCTCTCTCTCTCTGTCTCTCTCTCTCTCTCTCTCTCTACTCCGATCTATTTTCAACCCACTACCGGATTCAACCCAATCGAGCCACGGGATTAACCAATTATCCATTCATCCAGCCCAACCGGCCGTAAAGCACGGAAACAAACTCGTTGGCAGTCCTGCGGAGTCGAACGATTAGTAAATACGATAATAGTAAAGACAAAGCTCCGATTTACCTTTCGCAGGAGAAGAAGTTCTACCTCTACGCCCTCTACAACAAGAACAAGCCCAACTCGGACTCGCTCATGGCTGAGTATGGTACGGCCTTCTTCAAGGCCAAGCAGATGGAACTCGGTGACAAGATGGACCTGGCGAGCTATCTCCTCAAGCCGGTCCAGCGAATGGGCAAGTACGCGCTCCTGCTACAGCAGCTGGTCAAGGCCGGCACCGACCTGTCCGAGCAGCTTTCATCCGGCAAGACCGGTGACGAGACCAAGGACGAGAAGGACTCGGAGAGCCCGAGGCCGATGGTCGAGGGAGAGGCCGACCTGAGGGCGGCCGAGCTCATGGTGCGCTTCCAGCTTAGGCACGGCAACGATCTTCTAGCAATGGACTCGCTGCGCGACTGCGACGTGAGTTGACGGAGCTTTTACAATTTTCACTCTGTCGATGAAACGTTTATCTGGCGTATTCCGCTATCCTGCCGTAGGTCGCTCGTTAAAGTCCATGGTGAAGTCGACAATTCCGAAACGCGGACCACCCCACTCCTACCCACCACTCCCCTACCCCCTTCAATCCAACCACCGACCATCGCTGACCACTGGAGTTTTGCCATAGGTAAAGTCGCCAATTTAAATGATGCAATTGAGAGTGTAGTTGAATCGGTCTGTCTGTCTGTCTGTCTGTCTGTCTGTCTGTCAGTCGACACGATCTCGACATCTTGTTTCGCGTTTTGCTTAAGGTAAAATTTTTTTGCCCGCAAATTTCAAATTATTATGCTCATTAAGCGTAAGGAAAAAATAATTGCTGCGTTAGATGGCGCGTGTAAATAATGAAGAAGAAAGAAAGAAAGAAAGAAAGAAAGAAAGAAAGAAAAGGCGAAGCGCTTTATCTCGCGAGCGGTTAACGTCGTCGTGGACAAGACGGAGACGATAATTGCGTGCTCTCGCTCGTTTTAGGTAAACGTAAAGGAGCAAGGCAGATTACTGAGGCAAAACGAATTCCTGGTGTGGCAGGGTAAAGGAAAGAAGTGCCTGCGTCAGGTCTTCCTCTTCGAGGATCTCATATTATTTAGTAAGGCTCGTCGATTCCCTGACAGAAAGGTGAGTTATAATCTTACGTCCGCTGTGGCGCCTTTATTTATCATTCCCTCGCCGGCAATTGGCTTACGTCGACGTTTTATCCTGCCGCAGAATCTCGACATCTACATCTACAAGCACAGCATCAAAACGACGGATATAGGATTGACGGCCGTCATCGCGGACTCGCCCACGAAATTTGAAATCTGGTTCCGTAAGAGAAAACCGGGCGACACTTACACGCTGCAGTGCGCCAGCGAGGACATCAAGAAGGCCTGGACCGAGGAGCTGAGCAATCTGCTGTGGAAACAGGCGCTCCGAAACAGAGGTTCGCATTGCCCTTGACGACTATTCACCTCGCTCCTTTTGCTTTGACATTTACGAGGGAAAGTTAAAGTTACATGTAATTACTCGCGCAGTGCCGAATGGCAGATTTAATTATCTGCGCCTAAACCATATTAATCGTAAAAATTAATGAAAGGCACATTTTATCATTTACATTCTCGCGCATCGAGCTCATTACGTCGTTCGCGGAGAGGCTCGCTTATCCATTAATAATTTATTAACAATATCCATTAATTATACAATAATTTTCACGCACAATACACACGTTAATACTCGCCGAGTACCTGACAGTACTCGCTATTAAATATAACCTGTACTATATTTTTTACCATTGGCACTTAATGGAGTGAGCAAAAGATAAAAAGCGGCATAGGTTGGCAATACCAGTGCCTTTAATGTTTAACTAATGAGCTTAACTTTAAGGCACTTAGAGACACCATTTCTTCGAATGATAGTGTGTTTTGAAATTTGCAGAAGTGCGCCTGGCAGAAATGTCGAGTATGGGCATCGGGAACAAACCGTGTTTGGACATTAGGCCTAGCGCCGATCAGATCAACGATCGTTCCATCAGCGTAGCCCAATTATCTAAAAGTATGTAGATATTATAAGAATTTTATACTTATATATACCTAATTTATAAAAATGTCGAAAGAGTCATTTTTGTTACTTTTTCGTTTTTCACAAAAAAAAAAAAAAACAAAAAAAAAACAAAAAACAAAACAAAATGGTATATGGTAACGCATCGTGTTGTGGAAAGCAAGTAAAATCCCCCCCCCCCAGAAAAAAAAAACTATAATTATTCGTCTAAAAAGTGAAATCCCAGCTCCCTTGATCCAATAGGTGATTAATGTTAACGTTTTACTCGTACACAAGCAGCTCCGAGGTTCAGGAATTCGATAGCGGTGTCCAATAACGAGGATTCGAATCGATGCAGCAGAAGACCTCACAGTGTAATATCGGTGAGTTCGTCGTCGAGTAGCGGAGGAAGCAGTGGACCTCCTACAACACTGAACTTGGGCTTGGACACGAGTCCTCGGCTTCATCATCGTAGCACTACTTTGAACAGCCAATGCAGCGTTGGTAAGCTCAATTTCACCACTGTCCCACCCATTATATTCTTCGGTGATGATTAATTTCCGCTAGCGACATTGTCACTTTATTTGTTTGACGAGTGCGTATAAATAAATGCATGTTGATGCATAGTTGAAAAGTGTCGATGGCTCTAATTGGAATTAAAGTGGACTAGGAGAACGCATGCTACTTGGTCCTCATCGCCAACTCGACGCATTGGATAGACCTAAATAGAAAGTAGAGCCATTTTGAAAAAAGAAAGGAGATCAGGTCGTGAATAAAATGAAAGAAATTTCAGCGCAAGCTCAGGAGCTTAATCATCCATCGGCGTCCGGGACCAGAGACTTTACTGTAACTCCCAACCCCATCCTTCTCTCTTTCTCTCTCTCTCTCTCCCTCCCTCCCTCCCTCCCTCCCTCACTCCCTCCCTCCCACATCTCCTCAATTCCCCTTAACTCTCCTCAATTCTCCGCAAATCTCCTCAATTCTCCTCAAATCTCCTCAATTCTTAACCTTAACCCAGCAGCCTCGATAATCACCGTTCTAGCAACATTGAACAGACAATGATGATGTGCACGTGTCTCTGCTTGTCATTTACAGAGAGCGGCATAATCGCGGACATCTCAATAGTATCGGACGACGGGGGCGACGGAACGGATCGCAGCCATTGGAACTCGACCTTGGAGTCACCGACATCCCAATTGCCGCCGACTGGACACTCGACGCCTCAGTTGCAGTCGCCGATGAGCGGCGGCACGAGCGGCGCCTCCTCAGTTACCTCGCCCTCCTCCTCGGAGGCTAATTTAGCGCCCTACGAGCACGACGTCTCCATCAACCTCTGAGACGTGCGCTGCCGAGCATCGACGACGTCACGCCATAAGCTAAACGATTTATAAATGTTGCCCGCGTGTACGCGCGCACGCCCGTATGCGTTTACACATATAAATATATACATATTTCTTTTTGCATTGCATATATTACTCGACCTCACGCTGGAAAGAAGCTTCCACATAATGCGCAGGCTCTGACGCCACAGTGTGCGTGTGTATCTATAGGCATAATGAGTAACAATCACGGGATCGACGGTTCGCTTGTATTTTCCACCTTTGGGATGCGCGCGCGCGCCCGCGAATGGCAGGGAGGTGATGGAGGGGCGGAACAATTACTTTCCCTTCATATTGCTCCTGAATTTGTTAATTTTACGGATTTTCCGCAATGGAGCATTACGCCCAATGGTATTTCGTGAGCATTCTTGGGTCGTTAATGCTGTCTCGTTTAAGCTCGAGTTACGGGATTTTCAATGATGATCACCTTTTCGTCGACGCGGAGAGTTATTAGGTTGACCGATGCACGACATCTGGCCGAAGCCATGTAATTTTTAACATCTGTTTGATCTTTGAATAACGTTACCCCATCGTCGCGATCGAAGTTTATTCGCGAGAAGCTACAACAGGCTACCTCGACGAAATGCAAAAAGATGTAATCATCGATAATCAATGTCGCGAGTCGTGGCAAAATTTATAATATCAGATATATCAATCAATTGAAAGTTTAATGCACAGATCAAAAAAAGGTTGGACATCGACGTTGAAAAGCCTATGTCGAAAGATGGTTGATCAAATTTTAAAGGGGACCATGCTGGTATAGGAACGGTAATTAGATTTGCACGGCACCAGGTAAAGGGTAAGGTGACCGTAAGACTGTCGACGCGATTATTTATCACTTGTGTTGATATTTTTAAACGATATATTTGAGCTCGAAATTAATTCAATTTGAAAAAGGAAACGCGCTTATCTCCACTCCCGGCCGAATAATAGAAAACTATAGAACTTGAGTCTGGATGCGACTGATTTTAACGGGCTTCGGTACTACCAATTGATATGTTTAATGATATTTACGTAGAGGAAGGCATATTCGTTTGGTTATTTGGTGCAAGTTTATTAACTTTAAACGATGAGGTTGTGAAGAACATTATATGTACCATCCGCGAGCGTTAAATTATGATCACTTGAAGTTCCAAAATGGTAGGCTTTAAATAGTATCCGTTTTATTTATTATACCAACATTGCAGATTTTATAATTAGAAATAAGTATCAACTGAAATTAACAGTATTGAATTACTACTTAGTGAATTACCTAATGCCATATAGATTAATGATTCGTAATCTAGTATGATGACGAGAAACTTTAAGTGTCGTCGATGTTTCTTTATGTTTTTTCTTAATTTTTTTTTTTTTTTTTTTTTTTTTTTTTTTTATTCTTCTTACTCAGTCGATAATATTAAATTATAATTACATCATCGAAAATAATCATGCCAATCATGCCAATCATGCCGCTTTTAATCTTCCTTCTGTTCTACATTATATTAGATTATGTTTTATTATTTATTAAAGGATCGAAGGTATTGAAATTCGTAAAAAAAAAAAAAAAAAAAAAAAAAAAAAAAAAAAAAAAAGAAGAAAGTCGACTTATTTATTTTGTATTTCGTTTATTAAGTGTAAGGAGAATCTATATGATAAAATAGTTGTAGGAAGTGTAATAGAGGACTCTTATACAATTAGTATTGGTCCGTTTGATAGTAATTTATACTTCGTGTTAATTATTCGTAATTAACATATATTTTATTCGTAGTCTTACGTAAATTCAATGTAATTATATCGATCGGTTATTGTCATAATTTTTGTTTTTTATTTTTGTTTTTATTTTTGTTTTTCGTTTCTTAAGTAACACTTTACTAACTAGGAAAAATTATAAATTAAAACTAATGATCAGAAAAATACTTTCACTTCTTCTTAGTTATAGAACAATATTTTTTAAATTCAACGTCTTTTAAACAGTCTTAAGTGTACAGAAAGATTTTAGTGCGTTTACTATTTTTAGATATTTTTAAAAGCTCTAAAGGCCAGAAATAATATAATTATAAATTATTGAAAATGTTATTTGGAATAATATTTTTATAAGCTATTATTACGTGACCAAAATTCGTTGAAATTTTTTAAGAGATTTCAATTTCAGTATCTTCTTTCCTAAATTACAAGTACGGATCTAATAGGTTTTCTAAATATTCAAAACAAAGCAAACAGAATATAAAAAAATAGGGGGGGGGGGGAGGGGGGGGGGATATATATATATATATATATATATGATAAGACGAAATAGCTAATGAAAAATTTCTGACTTTACCGAACCATTCGAGAATTTGATTCTATAATAATTTTACGTTATTTTGACTTCTTTAGAGAGCTATTTTATATAAATGAAAATCAAACATATATTTTTGCATGAAGTAATACAGTAACCCAAAGTGTGCAAACAAGAAAATAACAAGCTACAAGCGAACCGTCGAATGTTATTTCATTTTAACTGCGTAAATAATATGTTGCGTAAAGAATTGCAGTTATGGTGAAAGAAAACGTGGCATTACTGATTCCGGAATAACGGAGCGTCCGGGTCCCTTCCGTCCTTGCCTATGCGCAAGGATTTAGAAAATTATTTTTTAAAGAATGTCTCCTTTTGTACACGACCGTTGCGTAGTATCAAACACCGCGAAACGCCGACTATTTTTTGCATTTGCCTTTTTCGATTTTTGTACACTAATATTAATAATAATGTATATGAACACAGATACACGTAACACTCACATGGTCGTTTCAATCTTATTATTCAGGAATGTCGGAGTAAGCGAACGATCACGCACATCTCAAGAAACCAACACATACCACTTTTTGTAAGATATTGTAATATATTAAAGTTTTATACAACGTAGCAAATGCGTAATTATACCCAATAGTTTCTTACTTTGTTTTCCAGAAAAAGAAAATATATCAAAAGAACGTACTATTTAAGATTATTATTAATAATAATAATATTATCATTATTATCATTATCATTAATATTATTATTAATATTATTATTAATATTATTATTAATCATTATCCTTATTATTATTATTATTATTATTATTATTATTATTATTATTATTATTATTATTATTATTATTATTATCATAATTTCTATTACTACAATGATTATAATTATTAATCTGAAGTCATTTGTAAAACGATTTTTATTGTCCGTAGTCCGTAATTTTAGCTTATAATATGCCCTGGCCTGTACACAAAAGCCAAATTTTAATTTTAATCCCGACAATTAAGTTTAACGTGTTTATGAATTATTGTGTAGCGCGTGGCTCGTTTTTGACGAGCTTAGGTATAAAAGTCTTCGTGGATAAAAAAAAAAAAAAAATTAAGCTCCTCGTAAGATGGCCCACGCAAAAACCAACAATAAAGAAACCTTTCTTCTTTAGTAAAATTACTTTTTTCCTCTTTAATCAACGAATTATCCTTCGATTGTAAATGATGAATTGATGTTTTTCGATTGTTCTATCGGCAATTCGTACGCGCAGTTGATATTTGACGCACACTAAACCTAATGACGTAATATATTTAATAATTTACTGTCTGGTAAAACTCATCGTCGACATATTTTTATATACAGTTTTATTTTGCTGATATATAAGCTTTAAATAAGACGAATGTAAACTTATCAAGCCTTTACTGTGCGCACCAATAGCATTACAAAACAAAAACAAAAACAAAAAAAAAAGAAAAAAAGGAAAAGAAAAGAAAAGAAAAGAAAAAAAGAGAAAAAGCCTGGAAAATAACGATCGCGCGTACGAATATACGCAATTGAAATGATAAATTATGAAAAAGGAAGGAAAAAAGCTCTTGCTTTGTTATTGTTTATGAGACGAGAGAATTATTATTGAATATCTTGCAGAAGAGACGGTCTGCCCAGATATTGGCGATATATCTCGTGGATAGCGACCGAATAATAATAATTTATTTTTGTGTATTTTGCCACCGTAATCGAATACATAATGTGACATTAATTTCATCCCTCTCTCTCTCTCTCTCTCTCTCTCTCTCTCTCTCTATATATATATATATATATATATATATATATATATATCTATCTATCTATCTCTCTATTCCTCTCTAACTTGTTCATTCTCCTTTTCTATCTATCAATTTGTCTATTTGTTGCTAACTTATAAAATATCAATAACAAACTGTAGAGTGTAGAAGAAAACAAAAGTCACGGAAAGAGCTTTTGATACTTGTCACCCACACACGTATTCATAATTTCTGTTCAAAATACTGTAATCCTTCTCGCCATATCTAACTTTCGAAGAAAAAACTTATTTCATGACAATTTCACATAAGTTTTTCAATGCGAATTCTACATATTTAACATTGCATTCGATCTCAAAATTAATTATAAAATGATTTTCTTTTTTAACTAGCTAAGGCTAGCTAATAATAAAATAAGAGAATAATATATTATACAGTAGTTTCCTTTCTATCTAAAAATGACAACAATTTAAAGATTTAAATGGTCGATTAATATTGAGATTGAATAAAAAACACAATCTTACATAATATTGAGCTATTCGTACTTCTTTATTATAAAGTTGTAAACGAAGTATATTTTTCGCGCCGTTTTTCTTTATAAATTTCAAGAGAACAATTAATAATAATTATGCAATTGGCATAATAGCGTGTAGCAGTCATGATCATGGGGTAACTAATTACCTGAAGATTAAGATTTGCCGATAGTCACTTTATATGATTTTCCTCCAATTTTTGCGCCCTTTCTCTTTAGGTATTTATTAATTAATCTCCCATTGGTTAAGGTAGTTAATAATGACGATAATGAAGATTTTTCGCTTAAATTTACCGCATCCTGAGTTGTCAACAAGTGTACATATTATATGATTGATAACACATTATTTTTCAGTATTGTAACTGTCTCTAACACCGATGTATTTTATTACTTTATGAAATATACTATATTGGGTGCCTTTTGTAGCGAAATAATTGCATTCTTTATTTCTTCGAACCTTATCCCCAATATATTAAAACTGTGATCTCATAAGGTATAAAATATCAGTTAATTAATTAATTACATACGCATACGCACATGTATATATATATATATATATATATATATATATATATATATATATATATATATATAT